GACCAGGGAAGGAAAGTAGGAAAGGATGGACAAGAAATAGAGAGGACAGGGAAAGAGGGTCAGCAGAATCAGACCAATGGCGAGTACAGGAAAAGCAGAGAGATGAGATGGAGATAGCGATAGAAAGATAAATGAGGACTAAGAGGGCTAATACAGGACACATGGTAGTTTTATGATTCAAGTATTATCTGTGTTTTACGACCTTATCTATTTTATGCTTTCGTTTTAAAAGGTTTTATTTCTTTAGAGTAAAGAAACAAAACATCTCATCACAGGAATAGTAGAAAGGACCCAGATTTTTTAAATATACAAAAAAAACCCCAACAACAATCAAATTAATCACAACTTTACTTCCTTCAATGCACCTAATTTACCCCTAAAATGTCTGACAGTGTAAGACAGTGGTAACATAGTCACTATACACCAATAATCAAGTTTTAAAAAATAATAATATAGATATGTACAGAATCATTCACAAAAGGAACAATAATTGTTTAGCTTTCAGTAAGTGACAACTGTTCATGAAACCCTCAAAGGCCCTAACATTTCTTAATTGGCTTCCTACCATGAGTAATGTGGTTATGTATGAACACACCATTTCTTACAAGAAACAAATGAATATCTTTTTTTTCAAAGTTCTTCTCACTGGTTTAAAGTGGGCGGTATTTCTGTGAATCAATAAAGATTAGGCAACATGTTAATCAAATTCTCATGAGAGTCGGTTTCTTGTGCTGCCAGATGACTGTCAGCTCTTAATAATTCGACGGTTTTCAAACTAAACCTTCAGGGTATGATTTGTCATTAAAATAAAGACATTCAAACCATATTTCCACCGGTTTTTATAATCTTTTCATTCTCAAGGCTCATTTTTGTTCATGTCTGCTCCTGACAGCACTAATGATGTTTTACACTGTGAGTATATTTACAGCGTGTAGGACAGAAATGCATGTTGGTGGTGTGTTATTATGGTGGTTTGTATGTTTACCCGCTCCAGCGTGATTTCCTCATACTCATAGTCTGCTTCTGTTCCATTCACCTGTTAGAGACAAGAAAACGAGGAAAAGACAGTTGTGAAAAGTAATGATTTTAACCCTTCACTTACATAACAAAACTACTAAAATACTCCAATTACTCCATTTGAAGTAAAAGTCCTGCATTCAAAGTACGACAACAGTGAAAGTGCAGAAGTATCAGCAGCAGAACATACTTCTACCTGCAGGGATTCATATATTACCAGACTGTAAATTCTGATATACCAACGTGTGAAACAGGAAAGCAAGAAAAAGCACAGTAGAAAAAACTAATACAAAAAGTAATCTGGAGATTTAGTTTTTTTTAAATCTTTCTGGTGAAATATTAGATCATTATAGATATATAACAAGATATATACATATTCTGACCTCTAGCTGGTCTTTAAATACAACTTTCAGAGGAGTGTAGAGTAGAAATATCTTGTTGGTAGAACTGCTAACACTGATATACATATGGTGAAGACTTCCAACTAGATATTGCTTTTACATTTTTTTTTTCAACACATGGCATTTTTAAAGCTTTGGACATGTTTTCATGTAAATTTACTTTACAGATAAGTATAAATAATATGAAGTAGAGATACTGATGTAAAATACAAACCTTAAAACTCAACTCAAGAACAACCTTTGTGTAAATGTCAAAAAACGTAAAAACACTGAACCCTGGTCGTAATAAAAACTTAGAAATATTGCTGAATTCAAGATTTGATAGAAGCTTTAACATAACCATAATTTCTACATATTGTTTAGCTTTCGTTGAGGACAGTAACTGTTGTTGTTGGAAATTGTGAGCTGATTATCTGATCATTGATGCCCTCATCGGCTAAAACAATCTGCAACAAATATGAGAGTTACAGAAATATGAAATCAGACATGTGATTATTTATGAATGACGCATCAATCCCAGAGATTAATGTCGTAATGCGTGCTTAATGATGATGTATCTCTGATGTCATATTTAAGAGCATCCCTGATGAATTGCCCATGGGCCAATCACACCGCTCAGCCTGCACTATAAAACACATTAACATCTACATTTTCTGCCTGAATGAAAAGCACACGGAATTAAATCTGATCTGAACAGACTATTATATATTTTGTGTTCCACTCGGTTTATACTGGGAGATGAGTGTCTTGTTCCACATACAGCTGCTGCAGGCACGCACGCACACACACACACACACACACACACACACACACACACACACTGTGGTCAAGTGGCATCCCAATGGCCCATGTAATCCCCTTGGCTGTAATCTGTGTCTCTGTGCAGTCAGATTAGTTTAGATTTTGAATTTCTGTCATTTCAAACAGAGGGCACAATCTTCCATCAGCCACCATGTGCAGCATTTCTACTACGATCAACCAAACACTGTGGTTTGATTCAGACTGGGCCATGACCATGAAAAGACAAGCTAATTTATATTGAATGGGAGCAAAATTACTTAACAAAAGAAAAAAAAAATTATAATATGTAGAAGTCAATATATTATACTATTTAAAAAGCTTCACAAAATTATTTTTTCCAGTTACAAGGTTATAGGATTATCAAAGCTATCTTCACATGATCAGCAAATGTGTGTTAAAATCAATTTTTCCTCTTCTACAAACTTCTTTTGCCTCATTTTTAGCTAAATGGAAATTATATGTTTTTTTCAGTATTTGCGAGTCATTCATATTACAGTAGAAGAGAATAATAGTCACCAATAAATCTGTGTAAGAAACATCTTTCTCTGTCTGTGTTTTATTTTATTTTCAATTCAGCAGGGAGTAATTCCACAGTAATTACATAATAAACTTATCTAACAACACACGCTGATTCTCTGTGGCAGCTGGCTACCCGTAAAGTGACATCTGGATCCATCTAATACTAGACGGAGTGTTCTGTCTAAAACCAGGATGCTACTATCATCAATGAGCATGTTTATTAGGTACAGATATTCAAATCACTGCACATTTCTAGTGGAAGCTTTAAAAAGAATCCAAGTGTTTTCACAGTAAAATAGCGTTTGATGTCACATGGTGGCTGGTTTGATTGAAAAAAAATTACACTTCTTGTAATGTTCAGATGCTCAGTATAAAATTAGAAATATATTGATCACACTCTTTCACCAGTCTTGCAGGAGCAGAAACCTTTCAGCCTTGTGTTAAGGTGTTGTGTGAAGGATGTGTAAGTTGACATCCTCAAATGTACCAAGACATTAAAGCCATGTAGGGACTTTAATCTATATGGGCTGGTTTATTTTTGTCTCCTCCTTCCCTTTGTCGCTCACCATGCCTCCCCCACAAATTATAACACAAACACGATGAATGAACAATGGACAATGCATGCCACATTCATCTACTGTTACATTATACAACAGGGAAAATTAATTGAAGGACTACAAATAAATTCTTACACAGAAGGTAATTATGTCTAAACTACATCAACACCTCCAGCTGCTGCATACCGGCACACCTGTACTGTAAACCTCAGACGCAAAAGGTCAGAACAAAGTTCCAATGGGCAACACACAAAAACGGTCAACTAATGAAATGTATTTCTTTAGTCTGCGTGATTTACTTCACTTGGATTTTCTCAGGAAACTCAAAAAAGGCTCATGGACACAAAAAATGTGAAAATTTACTACCAAAATGATCCAGCATTAGCAGGGTGCAGGTACAAAGTAGTTGGGCTCAAACAAGTATTGGCCTGGATGATTATCACATTTGCTATTCAGCATTTTTCTAATTATCGGTATGGGTATTTTAAAAAAAACAAAAAACTGATTCCAGACAAAAAAAATGAATTTCAAAATATGCCACTTTGGCTCTGATACAGCCACCTCTCTGTATCTGTAGTCACCTCTGTGTTTTTGAACAATGTCCCACCCACAGCACTATCTGAATAAATTTGAATAAAAGTTCTCTTTAAAACACATACAACATAAATACATGAGCACATTGCCTTTTGTGTTAGCGTTTTTTTGTTATTCTACATTTGTCATTTAATTTTATTTAATTTCCCTTCTGGGATGAATAAAGTATTTTTCATTTCATTCATTCATTCATTTTGCATTTTTATTCCTTTTTTTCCTTGAAGACTAATGGTTGGCACGGAAAAATCGTAGTGGTTGATCTCTATTAAGTACACAGATGTTTACATCTGCTGTCACTGACAATACATTTGGAGCACTACTTACATATGGGGGGGTGTCGACGCTGTCGGTGTTGACCACCACTGGAGGGGGGTTGGCCTGCAAGAAAAAAACGGCAGCATTACTAATTCAAGAAAATTACAATGAAAACACTGTGACACATAAACAAACAAACAGAAAGAAGCAAGACTGACTTACTCGTCTCATGTTTTGGTACAGCATGTTGAGTACATCTGCTACAGATTACCACCATGGAGCGTCTGCATACACTGCATGACATACTGCACAGGCCTTATAGCGGACAGTACTAATGTACTACACTGCAAACTACACTAGTGAACAGTTTGATACAGCTCTGCTACTATGCCATAACATGCTCTAATCAATTCAGTACTGCACCATAGAGTACTACGTCACAACAACCTGCAATTTTACAATGATCTACTTTGTAGAATATTGCACACTGGTGTTTGTTTTTTATGATGTTATATTTTACAACATCTTCTTATTGCACATTGATCACATTTATCTATTAAGACCAATCTGATTTCCACATTTACAAGCTCCACTTTTCAAACATGTCTTCTGTTTACAACAAGTGTAACCTCTGCCCTTCTCCCCCTTCCCCTTCTCCACCAAGTGATTCTCCTCTAGAGTCCAGGCCTAAACAGATCAGTGCTAAAAGAGCTGGTGTGAAAGCAGCTGCACGTGACTGACATGATCTTCTATCTCTTTGTTCCTATGCAAGCACAGCAAATGACAAACCTCACACTTGCTCATAAATAGCCAAATGGTGTCTTTTTCTCTTCATATTTGTAAGGGCAGTGTAAACACCCATCCCATCATTCTTCCTGTTCTCTTGTCTACTCTCACTTTCTCTCCAGAAAGTATTAAATGCTCACAAGTCCACCGCCTGCAGCTCTAGTCTTCTCCATCACACCAACAATGAGCGCTCAAGTCCATGTCAGAACTCCACCTCTCGCTCTGTAGCCAAAAAAAAAAAAGTTTAGCATCCAACCAGCTAAACAAGCATCAAACAAGCTAGAAAACCAAACGGACAGCCCACCTCGACTTCAGAACACGAATGTGCAACAGAGCAGCAACAGCATCTATCCCTCTGCACTAATCTCAACCTCTCATCCACCCCAGTCCACTCCTTTATCTCCTCTCTCTCTCTTTCTCTGCTTCTCTCACACACACATTATCTCACTCCATGTCTCTCTCTCTCTCTCGGCCACATGTGCAACTGTCTGTCAGTCAAGCTGACTGGATGCTTGATCCCACATGGGAACAGAATGGGGGCGGCGGGGGGGGGGGTTCAGAGGGATTATGAGTATGGTGGGAGGAGTGAAATCGGCCTGCTCAACAACAACGAGGAGCAGAGGGTGCACGCAGATGCACACACTAACCAAAAGCACTGAAAAGAGTTTAAAAAGAATGAAAATCAGCTGTGTGAGTACAGAAGTAGAGGCGGGTTTGGAGAGAAACAAGAGCATGTTGGAGGTAACAGTGCAGGTCATGGACACTCAGACAGTCAGGATATACTGACAGGTGCAGCTGTTACCATCTGTGTCTCTTTTTATACTAATCAAGCAGAGAAAGAGGTTTTTGCCACTTGACTTAAAGAAACATTGCAATAATACATGTTCATGTTGCATACTTTAAGTAGAACAGTTCATGCAAGAAACAAACCCCTAACTTTGCTGCTGCTAGTGAGACTGAGAGTCTCTCTAGATGATTGAGCTTTAAATATCAGAGAAAAACAATGCAGACTATTTCAAATAGGCACCAGCCCTGTTTTACTTTGCCACTAATCACTGGTAAAACAAAGCTGCCTAAAATGTACTAAACAAAGGACACAGTAAAAAAAGGTTGCATCTATTTATTTTATTTATTTTTATTGTGTTTTATTTATCTTGAGCTTATTTATTTTATCTTATCTTTTCACTTCCTGCTGTTATATCGATGAACGGTAGAATACTGAGCACTTCTTTGTCTTTTTTCTTTCTGGTCACTCCATCAAGTACCTGCCTGTCAGGTTCAATGTGTATTATGTTATGGATACCAAATGCTATTATTTGTTTTTCTGCAAAACAAATCTACCGGGAGGTATTAATAAAGTAACCTTGAACCTTGAATAAATCATAGTCATAAAAAAATTTAAAGAAAGACAGAAGTATGTACTTATTTTTCCAAGTCAAGGTACCATCATCTATGGAAGACACTGGAAACAACAGAGAGCAAGCTGAAGCTCTTTCAAGTGAAGAAATAGGATTAATATTATAAATTTACAAGTTACAAGTTATAAATACATTTATAAGTTTAGATATTAAGGTTTAGACCCAATAATATAATACAGTACATGGAAAACCCAACAATTACAAATATCCCCTGTAAGCATGCACTTTGCAACATGAATTAGGTTTATTTCCTTGTTTTCCTATGAAACACTGAATAATTTTATCCATTCAGGACTAACTTTAGCTTTAATCAGGAGCCACGTGTAGATGCAGCTTTGTCACAATGTCACCAGCCAAATAAGTTGGACACCACTGATCTAGACTTGTTTGTCTCTGCAAGTATTTCTGAGCTTCATCTGTTCAAGCCAACAAAGTCAATTCTCCATTTTGTTAAAATTTAGTGAACACAAATCTTACTTGGAAGGTAAACAGCATTAGATGCAATGACTGCCAATTGCTGCACATCCACTGGTTCTGTAAAACCTCTGAAGCTCTTCCTTCATTTGTAAAGCAATTCATCTTTTCCGTATTTCTTTGATTTGTCTAAAACAGTGAACTAGGCTGTCACCTCAGCTGACGCTAATGGAAGCTGTTAACAGCTGACAACTACCTGCTTGAATTTAATTCGTTATTATCTAACGCTCACCAGTCCATTGCCTTGCGTAAACCTTATCTGACTCCCTCACCACTGTAACAGCATTGTGTAAAGCACACATGTTCTGTGTGTGTATGTCATTCACAAAGCGACAAATCCTGTCGGTCAGTCAGCTGGTGATTCCATTGACACGCCATGTCGGACTGCACGCTTATGTAACATCAATATGTGTGTGGATGGGATTGTGTTACATGAAAACACCAAAAGAACAAATGTACAATTATAAACAAACAAGCACTCATGCACAAATACACAAACGCACACAACATCCATATCCAGACAGCATTTTGTTGCTCTGTGCAAGTGATTGTTAGTTGTTACATAATTGCTGTTACACCAGCTTTGTTATCATGGCATTATGGCCTGGTTCAGTCCAGCACAGCAAAGCTTAGAAAGAGATCCAGACTACGCCTGTTTGTCTCATCTGAGAAAGAGACAAACAAGTGATTTGGGTCTTCTTTGTTGAAGCAGTTGTGCACACACGTGTGTGTGTGTGTGTGTGTGTGTGTGTGTGTGTGTGTGTTTGTGTGTGTGCAGACTTTGGGAAATGATTTTCCATTAGTGTGGGGAGCTCTGTTCAGCTTCTACACTATCCACATAGTAATTCAATTATCAATTAGCAGATGAATCGTGATTGGATAAACAGAAATCAGGAATCCCATAACATCTAATGACGCACAGCAGCAGTTAGTTAAATAATCAATCAGTGCAGGGCAAACACTCTATCATGCAAGAACGTACAAACACAAACAAAGCCTAAAGTGCAAAGAGGAAAAGTCAAATTGAGCAGAATGACAAGTGTTGTAGAATAACAGCTGTAACGTTTGAAGGCTTATCTCAGAGCTTTGTTTCTCTTGCTGTACTTTCTGCTACTTTAGACTACATTTACAGTACTGAGGAGACTGTGCTGAAAGCTGAACACTCATGCACACATTCATACAATACTCCACTTTCAATATCACTACCCGCTCTGTCTTCCTAATACGCAGTGAAACTCCATTTGACTAATGAGTTAATCAGATGGAGCGTGACTCTAATCAAATCAGAGCATCCATGCTAATCACGCTAATCACACTATCACTACCTGCTATCTCCGATCACTGTGCCCACAGCAGATGCACAGAAAATAAATGACCCAACCAACAGTAAATCGCAGGCAGCTGCTGTGTTTGTATTCTCCTTCTTGGCTCACTATTTTACAGTTTACACAAATCTTATCACTCGTGGATGGTTCTGCTCATTTGATTGAATCATTGGAGGGTTAAAATTGACCATCATCACTCTTACAAAGCTATTATCGTCATTCTGTGATGTCCCATCGACTGCAGGCTTTTATCTTCTGATGCGTTATTTCATGAAAACTCTCATTTACACATAATGTGTTTGGTCTGTCCTTCTGAATTACTTCTCTCACACAAAAAGAGAATCATGTCCCGTACATGACATGAATACATTACAGAGTGACAGAGCAGAGTATAGCTTTGCATGGAAAACATTGAAGCACTTCAGGCTGTCAGTGCTGCACTTAAAAGGGCAGTTTGACAAAGATAATGGCAACATTACTGTTGTGACTTATACTACTAAAATGTCCTCTCCACTGAAGAAAGACTTAGGCTTTCCAAACAGCAGCCAGTGTATTATCAGACTTTACATCATGTGGTAATAATGCCGGTATAATGCAGACTGATGTAGGGTCAAATGCACTTGGTCAATTCTAGCAGTGGTTTAAATGTAGAGTAAATAGATAATGCAAAAAAATATATATATATAAAAAAATTAACTAATAAACGCAGTGTGCGTGCAGGAGTCCACGCCACATTCTAAGCTAGTTACTATCACAGATTATCTTGTCCACATACCAATCTTATATTATCTTATCAACTGCAACAAGATAATGTTCTGACTAATTAAGTAGGTTCCCATTATTAATCATTATAAAACCCCTTAAGTCACTCATGAAGAACCTATCTGCTTGTAAAGACAATAGAATATTTAAAAAAGATGGACACAGCCTCCTGGTCTGACAAGTGAAGCCAACTTGATGTGCCCTTAACTTACATTCCTTCTAAAAATCAGCAGGGGGCAACTCCTCTGAAGTCAGAATGTATGGAAGTCTATAAGAAACTTACTGTATTTCCTTTGTGATCTGTTACCTCAACATTCTTCCAAACTATGGTCTCAATTGTTAGTTTCAAGACTTTTCT